GCACCCACATGGTAGCTAACAACCATCCATAACTCCAGTTCCAGGGGATCCAGTGATCCAGTGCCCTCTTCTGACCTCCTTGAGCACTGCAAAATACAGGTGCACTTACATACATACAGGTAATGCATTCATACACATAAAATAAAAATAATAAATTTAGAAAAAGGTAAATAGCTCCTGAGGAATGACACACGAGGTTGACCTCTCCTCAACATGTTCACACAGGCACATACAAACATGCACCCCTACACACATACCCCCATCACATGCACACACATACACACACACACACACACACACACACACATACAATCAAACAAAAACCTTAAGTAAAATAAAGTAGGGGATTCAGTTAAGGAGACTGAGGCAAGAAGATTCACTTAAGTTCAGCAGCTTTTCCAGCCTGCCTGGGCAACATGTGAGTCTCTCTTACAAAGATGTCCAAGGCCAGTAATCATTTTACTAAATTCCATCCTTCCCCCTCTTTCTCCAGGTTTTTGGGACAGGATCTTGCTATGTAGATCAGGCTGGTCTCAAAATTGCAACAATTCTCCTGTCTTTGTCTGCCTCTAAATATTGGGATTACAGATGTGCACAACCACACCTGGCCTATAAACCATTTTTAAAATTTGGTGTGCATTAAAGCTAACCATATTCAGAATTATCTGAAGATCACTAAGAAAAACCCTGGAACATTGCCAAGCAGATAAGGTTTCTGTTTTGTGAGCTGAGAGACCAATCCACTAGATGAGCACTGGACACTGTCTGGAAATAGCAAGACAAATCATCTCCTTACTAATGATCATGGAGTCAACAACACAATGCCTCAATAATCTTCCCTAGAAAAAAAACCCTACAAGACCATGACAAAAAGGGGAAAATGTGTGAAGCTAACTCATAATTTTATTATTTTTATTTTTTAGACAGAGTCTCCCAATTTGATTACAGATTTTTGTATCTTTAAAGTAAAAACAGTGATAACAATCTCCAGGAATAAATATGTTTTTAAAAGCTTTTTTCAAGAATGACTCTTTTTCTTTGTTGTTTTTTGGAGGGGTTTTGTTTGTTTTTTGAGACAGGATCTCCATATAGCTCCAGCTGGCCTAAAATTCACTATGTAGTTGATAAAGCATTATATAAATTCAATTTTAGCATCCATACACAAAAAAAGCCAGGCATGATATCAATCTTCCCACACACAATCAGATACACACATACACTGAAATAAGTAAATAAAAATCCTTCATCTTGCAAAAAAGATAAGATTTTGACCTTTTTAGAGACCAGGTCTCTCTGTAACCTCAGCTGACCTGGAACTCACTACGTAAACCAGGGAGTCTCAATCTCTGAGATCCACCTGCCTCTGCTTCCCAAGTGCTGGGATTAAAGGCATGCACACCAAACCCAGCTCCTGGTTTAGTGACTTTATTTTTTGTTGTTGTTCTTTTTGTTTTTTTTTTTTGAAAGAGGGTCTTACTCTTAGCCCAGGATGGCCTCAAACTCTTGATCTTCCTGCCTCAGCCTCCCAAGTGCTGGGATTACAGGTGTGAGTCACCACACCAGATTATTTTAACCATTTTAAAGTCTGTAACTCCAGCATTAAGCCCATTCACAATATGTACAATCACCACCACCATCTAATGCCAAAATTTTTAATTATTCCAACCAGAAATTCTGCACTAGTTAATTATAATGTTCTGAAGTCTGGAGGGGAAGCTCAGTGGTGGAACAAAAGGAAAAGAGAAAAAAAAGTAATGCCCTATTACTTTGGATCCTCAGCCTCTGGCAAAGTCTATTCTACTTTGTTTAAGGGTTTGTTTTGTTTTGTATTTTTGAGACAGAGTCTCACTGTAGCCACAGCTGGCCTGGCCTGGCCTGGCATACCCTATGTACACCAGGGTAGCCTCAAACTCACTTTCAAGAACAGCAAGCACTCTCAATCCCTGAGCCATCTCTCTAGCTCTATTTTATTTTTTGTCACTATGAATTTCTCTATTTTAGATACCACATATAAGTGAAATCTTACAATATTTGTCCTTCTATAGCTGGCTGATTTCATTTAGCATGTTTGCTGATTGGTTGAGTGGTTTTAGTTTTTTGAGACAGGCATGAGCCAAACACCCACCTTCATTTAACATGTTTTCAATTTTGTAACATCATCCACATTGGCAGCCTGCATCATAATTCCATTCCCTATTGAGACAGTAATATTTAACTGTATGTATATACTATATTTTGTTTATTCATGGACACCAGTTATCTGACTTTTCAAATACTGTGACTAATGCTAAAATGAAGTTATTTGTTTGACCACCTACTCTCAATTCTTTCAGCTATGTATCTAGGATTAGAACTGCCCCACTATGTAGTAGTTCTACTACATCTGTTAACTTTTTGAGGCCCCACTAAAATGCTTTTCATGAGGTGGCTGGAGAGATGGCTCAGCGGTTAAGAACACTAGTTGTTCTTGCAGAAGACCCGGGTTTGAATCCCAGCACCCACATGGCAGCTAACAACTGTCTGTAACTCCAGTTCCAGGGGATCCGACAGTCTCTTCTGTCCTCCACGGGCACTGCATGACATGGGTGCACTTAACCTACATGCAGGCAAGACACGCATACACATAAAATAAAAATAGTATTTAAAAAAAATGCTTTTCATGAAAGCTAGATATTTCACATTTCCATTAGTAGGGCTCATCCTTTTTCTAGTATTTTGTTTTGGTGTTTTTTTTATTACTAACCATTCTAATAAGTATTAAGTAGTATTTTATTGTGTCCAATGCCCTCTAAACAGAAATAAACAGAAATCCACCTTATAATGATTTCTATGATGATATGTGACACAGTCTCTTAACATATTCAATCATTAAATCAACTCAATTTTGAAAGATCAAAGGTGACAGGCAAGGAATGTTGCTCAACGGTAGAGTGATTGCCTAGCATGCATAAATCTTTGGATTGGATCCCCAGTACTTCACAGAATGAAGACATAATACAAAACTTATAAACATCTAGAACTAGTTTCTCAAATACTAATTAATGTTTGTATAAGCAGAAATTTTCCAAAAAAGGTTATAGGTTTGTGATTTATAGATGACAATCCAAGAAACTTAGAAATCAGGGCTGGAGCGATGGTGCAGGGGTTAGGGGCACTTGGTGCTCTTTCAGTGTCTGAGTGTATTGCCTGCACGTAGGTAAGTGCATCTGCATCATGCAATGCCTGAGGAGGTCAGAAGAGGGCGCTAGATTCCCCTGGAACTGATGTTACAGTCGGTTGTTTGGGGCCCTGTGGGTGCTGGGAATCAAACTTGGGTCCTCTGCAAAAGCAGCCAGTGCTCTTAATCACTAAGCCATCTCTCCAGCCCCTTAAAAAACTTTAAAAAAAAAAAAAAAAAAAACACATTGATCCCTGGGAGATTGTTATCACTGTCTTCATTTCAAAGACAAGAAAATCTGAAATCAAATAGGTTTGACAACTTGACCATGATACAAAGCAAACTTGTACAAAATTTGGAAAATAATTTCTAATTTCTTCAAAAGTCATGTTACATGCACTAAATCAAGGGAAACACAGAAGAGCAATGAACTCTAAAGTTTATAGCCTCCTACAGCAAAGACCATTAATTACTTGTCAACTGTAACTTGAACTTGAGCCCAGACCACTCAAAATTAGTTTGTATTTTCTAATATGATCTAATAACAGTAAGCTTAAATTTTGTCTCTCAAAATGTTTTATTTTGTTCAGTTTGACTGAAGCAGGCTAAGGAGTTGAGAGCTGGCTCAGCAGTTAAGAGCATTTGCTGCTTTTCCAGAGAACCCAGATTTGGTTCCCAGCTCACAAGCACCTGTAACTCCAACTCTAGGGTGGCAGGGAATCTGATGCCCTCTTCTGGCCTCTGAGGGCACCTGTGTGCGCACACACACAAATAAACCTTTAAAAAACAAAGAGCAGGCTAACTCTATCAAGTTTATAAAGCAGGGGTTGGGGATTTAGCTTGGTGGTAGAGCGCTTGCCTAGCAAGTGCAAGGCCTGGGGTGTGGTCCTCAGCTCCGACAAAAAAAAAAAAAAGTTTATAGCGCATATATGGAAGCAACCAAGAAAATGCAATTGCTTCTTGACATCCTTACTTAAACTGGATGTACAGAAATTACTATCTTCTTTCCTGCAATGAACACACTAAATAAGGTACTTATTGTTACTCTCACCAACTTTTTGTTTCCCTCCCCAATTTGATTCAAGTATTTTTTCCGTATATTTTTTTTTTTTTTTTTCTATTTTAAGAGACGGTATTTTAAGAAACGTATAATCCACTGAGCAGGGATGAAGTGACCTAACTAAAAATTCCTTTAAATATTTACGGAGAGAAAAATATACATCTGTGACAAATGTTAACAACTGTTGAATGAGAGTGACAGCATTCAATAAGGGGTTCTTCTCATCCTTGCTCTCACATCTGTGCTTAAAGGGTTTTCACTGACGTGAGAGCAGGAAAGTCACAAGTTTAAGACTGAGCGCCAGACTAACCAGGGCTATTGTCTTGTCTCAAAAGTTTTTCAACAAGGATTTCTTCTAAAAATGAATTCTTTCCAAACAATGCTATTAACATTGCTTAATCAACACGTGTTGCTGGATGCGGATGCTCTAGCTTTTGGAAGGAAGAAAAAAAAAAAAAAGCGAGCTAAGGGTCTGAAGTAGAGGCATCTTCTGGCGGGATCGTCTTAAGCTCCGCGCCACCACGAGGACCAAAAGAGGCGCAGCTCCATTGAAGGCTGAAGCTGACAAATCGCCGTGAGCTTTCCGGCTCGGGTCCATTGGGAAGAGGCACACGCCTGGCTCTAGACGACGGATCTGAAAACCCCAACCACCTCCGCTGCAGAGCTGCGAGCTCTCTGCCCCGGAGCCAGGTTTGGCGCCACCCGGGGACCCCCCCCACCAGCCCCCCACACACACATAAGCTCGGTCCTCACAACGAACCCCAGCCTCGCCTCGCAGCCTACCTTCCAAATCCCCATCGTCCGAGTCGGACTCGCTGTCCCCGTCCTCGAGGACGGCGGATGAGGTGGACTCCGGCACGTGAAAACTCGTAGGAGTGGCGATTAGCGTGGCCGAGTCCTGGACGCGGGCCTCGCGCAGGCGTGTGAAGTAATCCACCGCGAACTCGACGAGGTCGGGCGGCTGCTGCCGCAGCACCTCCACCGTGTAACCCTGCAGCAGCTCCGTGAGCCCCGGCGGGATCTGGATGTGGCTCATGCCGGCGGCGACCGCGACGACCAATGGCTCCGGGCCGCCGGCGGCCACTGTCTCCCGCCGGCCTCCCGCTCGGCGCCCGCGAGGTCTCACGCGCAGCCCGGCTCGACTTTCCTCACGTCGCACCTTGCTTCAGCCGGGTCTGCGTGTTCCCGGCCGCGCAACCCTTCCGCTACCGCGCCAGCCCGGCGCCGCCGCTGCTGTCACAGGGTGGCCGCCACCGCGGCGAGGACGGACCAGCAGCCGAGCTGGAGGGCGCGGCAGGCGCCCGGGTTGTGACGCACGCGGCCGAGGGCGTGCGCGTCCCCGCCGAGGCCCGGCCCACAGTGCGCGTGCGCCGCTCAGCAGCCCGCTACTAGCAGTTAGGTAGTCAAGGTGCGCGAGTCAAGGCGTGTTCCTTCGCGAGGAAGCCGGGAAATAAAACTGGCCTTCCTGCGAGGCAGCTGGTTAGCGCGTCCCGCCTGGTCATGAAAACTTCCCGCTTATGTTGCCGAGAGCGTCTTAACTGAGGGACAAGCGACACGGAAACACAGGACCACGACCCTCTGATTTTCACTGTGGTGGAGGACAAGAGGGCCCACTCTAGGGCATGACAGTCACATTAACCCCAAGAGCTGAACAAGGCTCGCTCAGAGGAGGATCTGGAGGAAAGGTCTCTGAACAGGCGCAACAAGAACAAAGTTCTGGTCAAGTCAGGACCACCCTGGTTGGCAGGTAGAATGGTGATTTGACTTCCAGGCCCTCAGGGATCTGGCATGAGGTCTGTGAGGGATGAAAAAGGAAGGCTTTGTAGAAGTCAGAGTTCAGTGAGGGAGTAATTTGAGAGCCACGGGGCAGAGAAGTAACCTTGAAGAGCTCACTCAGGCAAATGTGTACAATGAGGAATGGGAATAAAGCCTGGAGCAGGAATGACCTTTGTGCTTGTTCCTCTTTTTGAGCACTTCCACTCGGGGTTTTCGTCCGGATTTGCATACCCCTTTCATTCCCTAGGCCCTAGGCCCTGGTGCAGCACTAATTTGATGAAGTTGAGCAGACTACAGGCACTTGCTACCTTTTGTCTCGGGGGGCGGTGCGGATAGGTGATTTGGAAAGGCCAGGCTCCTTGTCACTAAACTGAAATGGAAATAAAGGAAGTTAAAGCCCTTCCTAGGTAGGATATCCGTGCTACACAACCCAGGTGCTGGCCAAAGATCCAAAGGATAAAACAGAATCCTCCCTCTCCCTGTCAGAACCAGCCAGTTAGTGATCAGCTGAGTTAGTGATACACTTGAGAACCTGAAGGGCATTTGGGATGGTTAAGCACCACCTAGTAATTACCCAGTATTAATTAAAATCTTCACTAGAACATCCCATACAGACTTGGCTGCTAGGAACTTAGCTCTGATACTGACAGCAGAAGCATCCTATTCCCTCTGGTACAGAGGCCAGCTTATGCTCTATAGGCAATCCTGTGATTACAAATGTGTCTCCCTGAACATGGTCCTTAGCACCACAGAGAAGACTTGAACCATAACTTGGTGGGTGAACAGTGTCCAATTTGTTAGCCAGGCCTTTATTGCACAGTTGTGATTGATTGAATGATAAATTTCAACAACAAAAAAGAAGCAGAAACTGCTCTCCTGATGGCACAGTCTCATAACAAGATCCTTTTCTTCAAAGCCATGCTTCTAAACTCAGAACATGAAGACCTCATTAAAGACATGCAATCGGGAGCCAGGTACAGTGATTACATGCTTATAATCCCAGAATTTAGGAGGTGGAGGTAATAAAATCATGATTTAAATGCCATCCTCTGCTACTTACCAAGCTCAAGGATAGCCCAGGTTACATGAGACCCTATCTCAAAAAAACCAAAAAGAGGGAGCTGGAGAGATGACTCAGTGATTAAAAGCACTGGCTACTCTTGCACAGGACCCAGGTTTGATTCCCAGCACCCACATGGCAGCTAACAACTGTGCATAACTCCAGCTCCAGGGGCTCCAACACCCTCTTCTGACTTTGAAGGGCATTGCATGACATGGGTGCAATTACATACATGCAGGCAATACACTCATACACTTAAAAATAGTAAAAACAGAAGACAAGGAAAAAAAAAAGACAAGCAGTCAAGAGAGAAGATCTTTTCTACTCTTGAACAACTAACTCTTACAAGTTTTCCAGGATCAAATCTTGATAATGATACCCAGAAAACCTGGGCATGACTCCCATCACACCATAATACCTGGGTAGCTGCCCTTCTTCAATTCTACAGCCAACCTTTTGGAAAAATAAATTAGTAAATTCAGAACTCCAATTCTTAGTTTTCCTACATTATTACATGTTTTAAATGGGAGGCATCTGAAGAGTTAGGACTCTGACCTCAATTACAAAATAGAGGAGAGAAAGGTTGTTGACAGAGCTGGGTGTGGACAGTTTCCTCTAATCCAGTGGAACCCTACTGGCCTCTGCCAGAAACAGTCTACCTCACTTGTTTTCAGATGCTCCATAGCACAACCATCCATGTGTGCAGCAAAGAGCACTCAAAAGACATTTTAACCTGGTGTGGTAGCACATAACTTGTAGTCCCAGCTACTCAAGAGGCTGGAGCAGGAGAATCACTTTCGTACTGGAGTTTGAGGCCAGCCTAGGCAGCACAGTGAGATCTTTTTTTTTTTTTTTTTTTTTTTTTTTTCCCATCTTGAGACAGGGTCTCCTGTAGCCCTTTTTTTTTTTTTTTTTAAGTAGGAGCCCTACAGCTGTTCCTTACCTGTCTCCATATTACAAACTCACAGATTATCCACCTAGCCTCTCGATCCAACCTAACTACCTCCCTCAGTACTTGGTTCCTAAGGCAGGATTCTATCTCCAGCTAATCTTTAATAAGTAGAGTCTCAAAGTTTGTCATAAATGTCCATTTAAGCTGACTGAACGATGGCCCTCTAACAAAAGAGCCCTGTATTTCCAGCTTTATCCTGCCTGAATCCATCCTGCATGCTTTCAAGCCTGTCCAGTAATGCCACTGGAGGTTACCATGGCAACCAAACCTACCATAGCCAGAGCTAGAAAACAGCTGCTAAGAGCAAATGACAATAGTGGGTGGGAAAGGCCAAGAACAGAGACCTTCCAAAGCAAGAGAAATCCAATGAAGGAAGCCCCCACAACCCTGAGGAAGATAGTCTTCCTCATAACACAGCAAGTAGTGAACATCTTGCGCAGACTGCCACATCACCAGCCACAGGTATAGACACAAATACAATAAGGCTAATTCTCAGCGGTGTTTAAAATTACAGAGGCAGAGTTTGCACAGGTGAGACACATTGTTTATCCCAACAGCAGTGGATCTTGCTGAATATGAACATAACTATGGTGCCAACTGTTGTTTCCAGTAAAATAGTGAGCTTCATGTACTCTTGATAGGTTTATTACTTAAAATAATAGCCTCCCAAAAGGAGGAGGGAGAAGCTCATACTCCTTTGAAGTCTTGCTCTTGGCCCAGCTTCCCAGGTTACATACCTTAATCCCTTTATCCACTGGGGAAATTCAGCACCACCAGGAACACAACCCACTCGCACCTGACCAAGAGGAATTTCTTTTTGAGAGAGTCACTTTTATCCCAGGTTGATAAATGTAGCCTGAGGATGACCTTGAACTCGTGCTCCTCCTGCCTCTATCTCCCTAGTGCTAGGATTACAGATATGTTACCATCATCAGTTTATTCAGTGCTGAAGATTGAACCCAAGGTCTCATGTATGCTAGACAAACACTCTTAAAACTAAGCCACATTCCCAGCCTTTAAGGCCTTTTTTTGTTTTGTTTTGTTTTGTTTTGGTCTTTTTGAGACAGGGTGTCCTTGTAGCCCCAGCTGTCCTGGAACTCAATATGTAAGACCAGGCTGGCCTCGAACTCACAAAGATCCACCTGCCTCTGCCTCCCAAGTGCTGGGACTAAAGGCATGTGCCACTACGCCTGGGATTTTTTTTTTTTTTTTTTAAGACAGAGTCTCACTAAGTAGCCCTGACCTGCCAGGAACTTGCTATGTAGACAACTCACAGAGATCTGCCTTCCTCTGCCTCCAGAATGCTGGGATAAAAGGTGTGCACCACCTCACCCATCCCTTTAAGTCTTCTTTGAGAGACTCCAGTGCCCTACCTGTTGCTGGAACCTGCTAGCTACCTGAGCACCTCTATATGGTAGGTAGTCACTGTCACTGACTCAGTCCTCCCAGTCTACTTACTACCTGCCCCCACCAGTATATTTTACCTTAGATGTGTTCATGAGCCTCTAAGTAGCAGGAGGGATTGGGGAAGTGGCCTGCAACTCACCCAGGCCATCCTTCGGTCTTTATAATGCCTCCTCCATGAGGCCTCTGCCTTTGACCTGGGAGGTCTGATCCATTTTAACAAACATCCATGCTCCAGGGAGCAGTTAATTCCCAGGCCACCTGTTTCCATACCTGTGCGCCAACCCCTTCTTCCTTAGGACGCTATGTCCCAAGGAAGTATCAGTGTCTGCAATAAATCCATGGTCTGCTTTTGAGATACCTTAGGGCAAGGAAAAAAACCTTGGAAGCTCAGGGAACCACCTGGAGGATCACAAGCCTTCCGGCTTACCATAGAGAAAGCAGAAAAGGGTGCCTGCAGGGAGCACCAGACCCTGAGGACTTCCCAGTGACTGTCAGGACTGTATGTGCCACTCCTGGCCAAAGACAGGCCCCCTGCAGCCTGGGTCAAGTAGCCCTAGGACAACTTCTGATAACATCAGAAAACTTTCTTGAGGCTACTCAGACACACATCCCTACTCTGTTATCAGCTTACTAATGGTCTTTATCCTGTCTGAGCTTTCTCTGTCTGAAAGGTTAAAAAAAAAAAATCTCTCCCCATAAAACATTGAGTTTAATGAGGATAAAGAATTGGGAGGGTGGGGGAAGGCCATAGCTCACTGATAAACATGCAGTTTGATCTCTAGCATTGATTTTTTTTCAGGCACTAGGAATGGAATCTAAGGCCTCCCACATGCTACTGAACTACAAGCATTACTACTGAACTACATCCCCAGACCCTTTGAGTTTTTATTTTGAGACAATCTCATGAAGTTGCCCAGGGTGGCCTTGAACTTCTTGTATTCATTCTGCCTCAGCCTCCTGAGTAGCTGAAATTTTTTAAGACATTTTTATTTTATGTGTAAAAGTGTTTGGCCTTCAAGTATGTATATGCACCATGTGTGTGCCTTGTGCCAGAGAACATCAAAAGAGGGCATTAGATACCCTGAAAC